TTTTTAAAAACTTTTTATTCCCCCTTTAAAAACATTTAAAAAAAAAAAAAAAAAAAAAAAAAAGAAGAGAAAGGCTTTGCAAAAGAATTCTCTTTCGTTCGTCCAAGTTTTGATTCTTTTTGGAAAAATTGTTAACTTTATGTTGACTTATTCCTGCAGCAGTGCGATGTGGGCCAAAGGAATACGCGACACAAACAGACGAAAAACTAGGAAGAAGAAGAAGAAGAAGAATATAATAAAAATGCGCACTGAAGAAGAGAAAACAACTATATCTAAGCTGACTTCGGCTTCTAAGTTTGCTGTCGAATTCATGTTGGACGCAAATTTATGACTGTCAAAAAAGTTCAACTGCAAAATGTTAAGACAGAGACGAATGCGCCGAGGCCGTCGAGTCGAGTCCGTCCAGTCTGTCGCCGCGACTGCCAGGACGAGCGATGCAGGCCAAAGAAAAATGTGTAGAAATAAAAGAAATAATATTATTTCTTAACTTCTGAATTTATGGCTCGACAAGAATTTGCAGCGAGCGCCTGGTGACAATGGACCCATATATATATACATATACTTACACATATATACCTATATATATATATATACTATTATATATATATGTGTGCATCAGGACAATAAAAGTCATTCCAGCTGCACTGAATGCCAAATTTGAATTAACATCCATTGGCAGGTAAGCAAAAGTTTCAGTGGATTAAACATTTCTAGAAGGGGCAACGAAACACAGCTCTGACTTCTGCATTCATTTGAACAAAACGCTTGAGCTCTGAGAAGAAGCTGAATGCTGAGGCGAACCACATTACAAGTTAGATGGCTTTGCTGACTGGCTAGGTTACGGTTCGAGTGCTCAGCCCTGTATTTATCTGGCATACGTTCGCTCTTTAAGAGATATGGCAGTGCTCTAATTGTAGCTGCTCGACTAGCAAATATCCTGAACTTCTCATGCTAGGCCTCTTTTATATATAGTCTCACACAAAAATTATTTTTCTGCATCATTTCTCAAATTTAATGAGACTGAGGGAAGTTAAGTATTCCAGAACCAGGCGTTTATAGGCCTTGTGCTCTTCATGCTATGCCCAACAAATTTGCAATCGATATTTATCGATAAAATTCAATTAGTTGTTTTACTTTAGCTGCACATGATTATATTTACAATCAGAATCCTACATCTGCCCATGGCTTTGCATCGTCTCAAGTTATGCCCAACACATTACCACCGATATTTATCGATAAATATGTAATCAATTGATATTTGTAGCATTTACTTAAATTTCAAGTCTTCAGATAGTAGAGACAAACCTATATATTAGCATATGCTAAACGGACTCGCCTCAGCAACTACATCTACTCATGGTCCGCTCTGCTTGTTAGCCTGAATGGCGAATCAATTGGGATTCCAGTTAATTGTTGTTTAAGTTCGAGCGACTTTCCACAGACTTTAAGGCAAGGCTATTGTCAGTGTCTCCTGTCTGTGATGTCTGTCCGTCAGTTGCAGCAGCAGCAGCTCCGGCAATCGCAAGGACAACGCATTTTAATCAAAGCCGCAGAACCTATCAAGACATTTTTAATGACGCCCCAAGGCTGTGAGGGCTCCCATTGGCAACATTCAAGCAGTTAGTAGACGTAGCTCGCCCGCTGTGCCGTGCCGGTGTGGTTTTAAGGGTTTACAGGCAGACAGACAGACAAAGAGAGAGAGATATATATATAGAGAGAGAGAGAGAGTGGGAGAGAGAGTGGGAGAGAGAGAGACAGTGAGAGTTCGGGCCGCTACGCTGTGCCGCACGTGCCACCGCCAACCTGTCTGATATATGCTATGTCTATATACACATTTCAAATGAAACAAATGCAAATTGTTGTCATTCAGCAACATCAACGAGGACAACAACAGTCGATTGGTTTGAAGCCTGAAGCCGCCACTTGGCGTCCTGTGGCCCGTGTTGCGGCTCGCCTCGTAAATGTTCATTAATCCGCAGCCATTGCAGACAGTGCCTACAGTCAATCTCTCTCTCTCTCTCTCTCAATGTGTGTCTCTGTGTGTGTGTATTAATGCGGCTGGCAAAAGTAGCTTTTAATTAGCATGTTGTCTGCGGGCCGCAACGCAGCTCGTTTGTTGCAAGTTGTTTTGGGGATTTTTGAATGGCTTTTTGGTTGACTGGCAACAAGCCCAGACGCAGGTGCTCGATGCCATCGGTAAAAGTGTACAGAGAAAGAGAGAAAGAGAGAGAGAGAGAAGGAGAGAATGGCTGCTATGTATTTGCCTAGAGCATGAGACGCATGAGCCGGCCGAATAGTTTTCTGGCGGTTCGGAGAAGCTGCCATACCTGATGGGCTCCAAGGACTTAAATGCGACTTAGGCTTAGTGTCGCCTATGGTTTTTGTGCTAGCGATTTAGCGCGAAATGAGAGAGAGAGAGAGACAGAGAGAGAGAGAGAGAGAGTGTCTGTGTGTGTGATTAGGTGCTTGAGCAGCGCATAGATAAGCATCTAGGCACGTGAGTCCAATAAGTTATCCCTCGTGTAGCGATTTATGTCTACGCCATTAGATAGTTGGCATTTGCCTAAGCCGAACCACGAAAACTTTTCAGCAATAAATTTGCCATGAAAAGCTAATTACTAATGTCGCAGGAAAAGAAAAACAGAAAGTGCGTACAAATATATTTTCAAATTGGGTTTGCTTGAGGAGAGAATACACCAACAGAGGATGAAATGATATTGTGATCCAAATTGGTAGATAAATAAAATTAATCTGGTTAATAATAAGAGTACGCATTTCATTAATTACATCGATTACCATGAAAATAATGTACATATATGGCTATATATTCGATGCCTAATCATGCATAACTATTGATTAATAGATTTTTGCATTACGCACATCATCCTCCCGTATTGTAGCCCAGCTGCGTTCGATTCTTTATAGAAGTACACACGCACACACATACCAACGCATCTCAATTATCCGTAAACGCTTAATAGCCCATTAGTGGGCTGCCTGCCCCCCGTCATCCGCATTATGGCAGTCACGCACATTGAAATTATAGACCCTAAAGCCGGACATGTTTCCACAGGCAGCGATTTAGCCATTTTTCTCCAATTTTGTTATTGATTAATGCAAACTTTAAATATTCAATATTTGCAAGTGTTTAAATATTCAATTTTCCGCTGGATAATAATATAATTATGCATATTATTAGGGGCATGGACTAGCATAGAAATTGGAAATTGGAAACTCGTAATATTGCAGTTGTTCAGTATGCATAGGAAACTATGTGAGCTAGGTGGCAATCTTCTAGAATAACTCTTGCCTAAGAGGGGCTTAACGGAACTTAACTATTGGGTTTTCAGGTTACTATTTCTAGAACTCTTCAATACCCCTAAACACGTGGATATATTCATAATATATTGTTAAGTTTTGGTTGTCAGCCTAAATGCGTATTCTAAATTAAATTTGTTTAGTTTTTCTGAGATGCTGGATATAGTATGGTATATACCACGCCCTAAGTAGGCGTATAGGAAAAAAATTTAATGACATTCCAGAGGAGTATATCTACATTCGTATAGACAATGCAAACTTTAAATATTTCTAGATTGGCACGACAGACAGTCGAAGGAATGTACGATTGGAGCAACATATTCCTTTACCAAGTAAATGAACCTAAGCATTCCCTCAAGTCTCAGCTTCTATTCTGCATACAAAACAGCTTAAGCAGTAATCAAATTTGATCGCGGCGCTGCTGCTGTTCATTGACATAGCTAAGCGATATGCAAAACAATAGACCCGAGTTAAGCTTCTTCAGAGTGCGTCAGGCATTGATAGCTTCTTGGCAATGATTCGAGTTGTGGATTAATTTGCCGCATTAGACGCTTCATTGGCATGACGAACGGATGTTGTCAAGCAGCGCTGTAATTTGAGGTAAATGCAGTCTATGGCAGGGCACGGCACGGCAGGGCAGGGCAGGCCAGGGGGCGAGGCTGTGGCATGAGGGGCATATCTCGATGCACGCTAATCAGACGGCACGCAGGCGCATGACACAAAAAGCCAAAACAGAAACACAAACAAAGCAAGGCAGGGCCACAGGGGGCTGAATAGAAGTTAAAGGAGATGGTTGTTGTTGTTGTTGTTCTTGTTATTATTATAGTTGTTGTTGTTGTTGCTGCTGCTGTCGCTGCAATTGTTGTTCATTGCTGCTGTTGTATTATTATTAGGCATAAAGTGCTGAAGCTGCTGTTGCTGCCTTTGGCCCAGGCCTAAGTAACACGATTTTTCTTCATTATTATTTCTTGGCACGCGATCTGACAAGTTAGACGACTCGCCGTTGTCGTTGTCGTTGTTGTCGCTGCAGTGGTTGTTATTGCTGTACATTTCTAGTTGCTGTTGCTGTTGCTGTTGGACTTTGAGCTAGTCAAGCAAGCTGTCGCCATCGCCTTGGCTGTCGTGTTATGCGATTTACATGAAGTGTTGGCGCAGGCAAAATTTTCACGACGCCTGCTGGCCCCCACCCGGCAGCAATAGCAGCAGCAGCAGCAGCAGCTTGACGCGCCGACCGGCCTTGCCCATTTCTACAACAACAAGCACAAAAACAAAACCAAGACACCCCACTGTTGATGTCTATCTTTAAATATACTATACACATACATACATACATACATATATCGTACACATCTATATACATCTATATGCATTTATAATCTACTTTTATAAAGAAATTACATTTGACGACTCACTTGCAATTAGCCAAGTCTGCAACTGGTTGGCTCGTTGTCTTGCCTCTGTTTATTATTCCAGTTCTCTATGCATGCAACTTCACATACGATAGTCGACCTGTAAGACAAAAAAACAAAAGAAAACTTTATTAGTCATATGTGCGGAGCCAAATCATATTTGAAATCTCTTAACCCAACCACTAACTGATAGAATAAATAGCTCTTAACCGTTATATTTGAAATGTCTTATACATACTATATACACATTTTTATAGCATCTGCATTTCTTCCCTTCGATGAACAAATAGTTCAATCATTATGCGTTTCTTTTATGCATTTTGAATCAGTATTTCAGCTTGAAAAGTCTAGCTCTAACTGATATTTGATAAGCTTATCAATAGATTAGTTGAATAGTAATTGATTTGTTTAAACAAACTAGAGCTGCCTCATACCAACAGGGAAGTACAGCCAGAATTTCAAGTTTCTAGCTCTTGAGGTTTCTGAGATCGTTGCGTTCAAATACAAGATTAGAGGAATCGATACATTCAAAACTATTCAGTTCGTCGCCCAGATCAACCATATACATAGACTTTATGGGGTCTGCCACGCCTCCTGCTGTTACTATTTCTGTTACATACACATACCAAAACCATCTTGGTTTCCCATTGTCAATGGGACTAGGATATATATGCAAATGCCAATAATTCGCCTTTGCTTATCCTCAAATAGGCAAATCCATTCAAATGCCTTTTTTAATCCGACAGAAAACTTGCCGTTCTAGACCAAATTTAGTCACTCAATAAATCAATCGATTAGCAACAAAAATAGACCGTTTATAGGTCTCAAAGATAAGATATGCATTACATTTTTCGTGAATGAATAGCAATTGAACTTGGTAATCCACCTGGTTGCAATTCGATTTTTGGGCAATTGGTTGTGTAGTACGCTCTACGAGCACCAGTCTATCTGGCTTATCTTTTTGGTTATTTTCCGTGAGGACATTTGTTTATGCGTCCAAATTTATGACGATCTTATCGCACACCACTCGACATGTGATGGTCTTCAGCAAACAGTAAATGAACAACAAATTATAGAAAATGAACTTAACAAATGATTTCCCACAATTTTGACTAATAGTTTTTTATGGGGTAATCATGGAAAGAAACTCCAGACAAATGGGCGTGCCAATGATAAACTGATAATATTGATTAGATCAAAATTTATGGTCTTATAACATTTGTCTAATGTGACGGCTTTGGAAGAACTATTAACTAGCCTTAATGCTGATTCAGGCCGTGCGTAAATCGCTTTTGATGCTCTGCTCGACCTTGGCTGATAAGAAAGCAGCAACAACAACAATAAATATTCTTATCTATTTGCATAGCGTAAGGCGCGGCAGCCACTTGCGTATCGCTGCCTGGACTCTTATCACTCTTAGCTTTGAGCCGAAATCGTAGTGGACCAGCTTGCTCCCTCTCTCTCTTACACACTCCCTCTCTGTCTTTCAATCTCTTTTGAAGTCTTCACGTGAGCGCTGTGCGCAGATTAATTAATTGCACTAAAAACGTAAGCGAAAAGCAAAGAAATATAATTTAAATGGAGGTTTATGCACATAAATAAGTAAAGCTGAGATAAAAGCAGCGACAGAGGCAGCGGCAGAGGCAGCGGCAGTGGATAAGAAGCGCAGTTTGGCTTGCCGGCGGGCCGCAGACACATTACATTTTCTGCTCCAGATACGCTTTTCACAATTTTTACACACACACACACACACACACGCAGCATATGGCGACTTTTGATTTTACTTTTGCCAACGCGGCGTATGCGCAATGTTTGCAAGCGGAGCGTGCGCACAGAAAGCAAACAGCGCCGAAAAACAGACAAACAGGCAAACAGGCAAACAAACAAGCAAGCAAACAACGCACACTTGCACACACACACACACACACACACAGTTACACACATTTGACTACAAGTCAGTCAGTCAGTCAGTCAGTCTGGCAGCCACTGAGCCATGGGCGTTTGTGAGTCGTATATACATACATACATATATATATATCTGTATAGGTATGAAAAGTGAAAATTGCATTTGTTTTTAATGCAGCTGAAAATTAAGACGAAAATGTGTAGCAAGGTTGACGAGCAGCTAGCACAGGCGAGCAGGCAGACAGCGCCGATGAAAGGTGAAAGGGAACAGCGCAATGAGCGGGCAAAAGGTGCGCTAATCAGCCAAAAAACAGAAGAAGAAAACAAGTAAGAAAAACGAAAGCATCAAAATGAAAGAGAGCTAGAAAAGAAACGAAACGAAATTCCCAGCGGGTCAAGGGAAAAGCTAACGAGAGTGCGAAAACAAGAAATCTACTTTTCACTCGAGCACAAATTTGCATTACAATAAACACGAATTTCGAGCTCAAATATTAAATCTAATCACACTCTAATAACAGCGCCGTTAATTCAAAATATTTAGAAGAAGAAGAAACTTTGATATGCCGCAGAATTTGCTCGAATCGGCGAACATTTCGCAATCTAATCACAATTTGTGATTTAAATTTAAAGAGCGTTTTAGTGGATGTGAGTCAATCAACGCATGCAGGCAGACAGACAGTTAGAAAGGGAGAGAGAGAGAGGGAGAGAGAGAGAGAGAGTGCAGCTGCGGTCAGCCTGATCTCATCTGTTAATCCCATTGCACTCACATATGCAAAACTCATTGGCATTTGTCGGCTGTCCAGGGTGCCCACATCACGTGGTCAAACGACATTGCCATCGATGCCCAGCATCATCATCATCATCATCATCATCGTCATCATTAATTAAACACTTAATTAAAACTGCAACTGGCTGCTGCTGGGTGGTGTGGGGAGGTGAGCGGAGGTTAACAGCGCTTTCAAATGCAATCCACTGCACATCGCGTGGCGATTGAGGCAGGAAGGGGGCGTGGCATGGATGCGATAAATTGATTAGGCGGCATTTGCTTGCTGAACGCTTTCAGCAGCCAACTGGCAAAAAGCAATAACAACTCCATATTAACGGCATTTCAAATGCGTGCCGCTAAAAGCAACAACAACAACAACAACCACAATGGGAGCAACTAATAACAACCAAATAATAGGTTTAATAAATAACACATTTATATGTATATAAATGCATATACATATCTATTTACAAGTCTATATATACATATGTATGTATGTATGTATGTGTGTCTGATTGAAATTAACGCCACTTTCATTTTTCATCATTGAAATTGGGCAACGATTCGAAAGAGGTTGAGGAAGCAGAGCGATAACCGATAAGTGGCAGGCGATAAGCGATAACATATAAACAATTTATGTGCCATATATAACATATGCACACACACACACACACGCACGCACTCGCACAGATCTATGTTTAATACACTTTATAAACGCTTGATTAGCAGAGAGTGTACGAAATTAGGCCCAGGCATGTGTGTGTGTGTGTGTGTGTGTGAAGCCTTCTCATTACACCTTGCTAAGCGCTTTTATAGCGCTTTCATAAATAAATATTGAACAATTTCATTCACAGCACAAATCGAGGTGTTTTCAATGTAGTAAATGATAGACGATAATCTATATGCATACATATACATATATATGTATATACATACATGTGTGTATATCATGTGTGTGAATCATTAAAATCCGCTGGGCTGCAAAGGGCGATTTGAGTACGAAATTCATGCTCATTCAGAGAACGGGAAGGGAGAGGGGAAGCAGCAACAATAGCTTTGGCTAACATATACATGCTAAATAAGTATGTATACTAATAAATTACCAACTAAATAAACCAGGGGCGCTTAGGTTCCTCTTCAATTAAGTCTACGTCACCGCAGCTGATATAAGATTAGGCAGGCAACCTAGATAAAGTGGGCAGAGAATATGAGATATTTGGGCAAGACAATCGACTACTGTCTAGTAGATCAAACGAGACTAGACTAAGCTAGACTAGACTAGCACATATATATATATATGAGATCTAACCAAATCTTTACACTAAGAGAATAAACTAGAAAGTATTATATAAGCAGTAATATATTATAGCCAAATGTCCTCTAAAACAGCTAAAATCCGTCGAAATGATATTTTTATAAACTGCCCTGGTACTACTCTAAAATTGACTGACGTTTTCGAGTCTATATTAATATAATTTAATTTAATTTAATTTATTCAATTCTTATAAGGAATTGATTCTATATTGACATAGTAGATATTACTAAACTATCGCCTCGACTTCTTTGATCTCACATCAAGCATCTATACGTACCTATATAAATGATCTATTCCAAATATTCAGCTGTTAGACAATTAAGTTTCCATGCAGATTTTCTGCTCTCTCATCCGTCTTATGCATAAGTATTAATAGCCAATTAGTAAAGGTCTAGTAATTTAGCTTGACTCTTCTTTAACTCTTGACTACTCGCAAAATGCAGACAATTAAGAGACGCTTCAATTTCATTTCATTTTCATTAACTTCACTCTTAATAATATCACAATTGAGAGTGAAATTAATGAGAATGAAATGGAATTGAAACATCTCTTCATTATTGAATTGACAAAATAGCCAACAGCTAATTTATATGCCCTGAACCCGTTGAAAATGGTACTTCATGGTCTAACGGGCTTAGCCAACTGTATGTGATGCCCAGAAATAGGCGTGGCAGAACGATAAGCTGATTCGACACAGACTAGTTCGTATGTCTGTCCGTCTGTGTAATCAATGTGAAATTCTAGAGACCTTTACCCCTTTGCAGGGTTAAGGGTAGCGCCTAGTCCATCTTGTTATGCTTTCGGCTTATCAGAGAACACTCCAGAAACTGAGCCAGCCTTATCACTAATTGCTACACGCAATTACAGGCCAATTATTGACTAGGCAAATATAAAAAAAAGAAAGTGAGAAAGGAAGAGGAAGTAATAAATACACATAGGAAATGGGTAATAGGAATACCCCTCATATACACATATTTATATATGTATTTATATTGGACCGCTGCCCGCAGCTCTCACCGCAGGCGTCCAATGCCTTGTATATAGTTCTATTTACCGTTTTACACTTATGCAATTACAATGACAAGGGGCGATCTCTAAACGACAAGGCAAGCGA